AACCGTTGGGGCTGGCGACAGAGGTCAGGGACAACATACTTTGTCCTGGTCGAGGAATCAGCAGTTGCCCGCATTTGCCCAAACAGCTCGTATGTACCAGAAATCTTGCAGGCCACCGTCCCGACTGATAATGCCTATGATATAGGAGTGTCAATAAAAAGAGTGCCCGAAGTATCACCGTTCCTGGCCATTGAGAGGCCGTACCGCCAAATCTTGGACTGCACTACAATGATCCCTTTGACCGGCCGTGGCGAGAAGTGGCACACAGGCACCTTGTTGAATCGAAAACTGAAGACGAAAGACGAAAGAAACCGAAGACTTGTTCGGTTCAGAAGGATGGGTTCGCGGACAACCACGGCAGTGTGCTGAAATATTTCATGTCGTGACTGCCGTTTCAACCTCATCGGCCTGCTGAGCTTCATTTCTGCGAAACACGGTATGGGACTGAAGAAGGAAAGAACGAGGCAATATGTACAGATGTCCTCGACTTCCAAATCTCCTTGTTAAGCGGACTCGTATCAGCGTCGGGTCGTTCTTGCCTCCTTTTCATGATCAATCTCTCTTGTGTCCGACGAGAGCACCGAGTTCCAGTTTAGAAGCTGGACTCCCTCGGCGGGCTTCGTATCGTTTCCGGCCAGCGTTGATACCTGCAGTAGATACCTTATTCTGTCATCCATTTGAAGCGATCCAAATCGTGTCGCCCGCTAAAACACCAGAACCATGTCGATGTCGCCATTGCCGTGATGAGATCATGAAAAGGTCCACGATTACATATGGGATCGGTCGGGTTCAGCCGCCGTAACCGCCGTCGACGGGCCGTCTGATAGGACCCTGGGCGTGCCTGGTCGTGCTTGGCGTCCGGTTCTTCGGCCCATGATGCAAACCACGGCCGGGCCGGCGTATGGAGAGACTGGGGCTCCACTGCTCAGGTCGGCATGTCAGTGCCTGGGTCCTGAAAATCCTCCGAGTCCGGCCGCCTGCAGAATGCTCGAGTGAGGGGCTCTTCGTAACGAATCGTAACGGGACCGTGAAGGGCCTCCTTAGCTGGCTCGGCTGATCAGGTCCCTAGGTGGTCTAGCTCCCTCCTAAGCTCCGTGTGTGGATGCAGGAATGATTCCATCGTGCATCTCTCAAAAGTCCAGTGATCTGGACGGGCCAGTAGGCCAGGTACAAGGCAAGATTCAGACGGACTTGCGGGCACCATTGGAGAAAAATCAGGCCATAATTACAATTGTCAGCAATGGAACCTAAGCTAAGGTGGGATGCAAGCGATGGAACTTGGAAGGAATGGCAAGGTGGTCCAAGCGCTGACAAGCCTTCCGTCACCAGAAAGGGAAGGAGCGAGGAAAAAGGACGTGGATGGTTGGCTGACAGAACATTTGGTAAAACTGGGGACCAGTCACAGCAGGCTTCGGACGTGGGCTGGCTTTCACTTCCATCATCTTTTCCCTTCAGCTTCTTCTTCCACTTCCCGTTGGCCTTGTTGTTGTCGTCACCTCGCTCGCTTCCCGTCGTTCGCGCTGCAGTGTCTCTGATCGCCATGTCTGATCCTCCACATCCACCACCTCCAGGTCGCTTCAGACTGGGCATCCCGAGCTCGTGGTCCCGGTGTCTCGTGTAGCGCTGTACGCTTACGACACCGCGTAGTGTTCAGGCGATTAATTCCTTGTATGCACGGCTTATCGCGAGACAATGGAGATTCAGATCAAGATGAGACGATGTTCCCCGTCTGGCCATCCGGATGACCTCATGTCGGCCTACCTTCGTAAGGCTGCAGCTGCCAGGTCCTCCTCCAGCTATCCAGTGCAACAAAGCGACCCGCGACAAAGTCCGCCTTGGCTACACAGAAGATGTCACCGGGCCGCCAAACATCCCGTCAGGTCTCTCTGCTGGTACGCCTGGGCTGTTGGAGGAAAGGCAACCTAAGGTACTCACATCGACGCCTATCATGCCCGTGGGAGTCGCATGGCAGTGGCACAGGCGCGGGGGATAGGGCCAAATTGATGTCGGTGACAGACTGCCAGCAGCCTTCTTCGGAACGCCAGCCCGCCCATCAATCGTCTTGCAGCAAACTGCCCCTACACCGAACCGTTGTGAGCCACGGGTGTGCTACAGCGATTGGTGACCCGCCGCTGTCTCGACGCCAAAGCCTGAGGAAGAGGAGAGCAGTCATTCTGCACCCCCTGCTCAACACCAAACACAAGACCAGACAGGCTGTCCGCTTTCCGTCGCATTCCCAGTCATCATCACGACTCGCTTCTACCGTCGATCACGGACCCCTAAACCCCAAACCCCCATGTAAGTACCATTTCGTACCCCAGACAAAGCCACCCTGTCTGGACTGCCCTGACCGACTCCCATGTACCGTCCCACTGGTGTACCCGAACGATGTACACAGTATCATATTGTTTCCCAAAGCAACCCTGCCCTCCGGACTACACAACCGACGATCGCTGGAGATTAGCTTCGTTTCTGGAAACACCCCGATGTGCTTTCTCCAGAAACCGCCTGAGGATGATATCAATATAGCTTCGCTTCTCCCCACAGTATATATGACCTCGATGGGCGTGACAAAACCGACCCAAAACACAGGGCTGTGTACTCGAGAAGACGAGAACCACTGTCACGAAGGTATCAGCAACCAGCAAGCGGGTTCTCAAACTGTAGGTTGGAAAATATCACATCGGTATGTATATCGTTCTTGTGCTATATACGTGGGATATCCGGTACTGATATTGTGGCACGTCGTGTAGCACTCCGTACATATTTGATTCTTGGGCTACGCAACTTCGCAAGCGACCGTAACCGTGCCATTGGCCCCGGCAGTCACGGTAATGACCGAAACGGGACCCTTTAATGGAATCATTGTGAGCGACCGTTGCTCCACAGCGATCTGAGGATGTCACCGATTCCTGCGCTGCTGAGACTGTTCCGGTTTTTGGATCGCCGCCGTACTGGGTAGAGGTACGTAACCTTTCTACGACCCGCGTAACGTGTGCACCACACTCCAGTTGGACAGAGGATCGGCGCTTCTATTCCAAGATTCGCATGGCCCTCACGTGCAGCAATTTCTTCTCGATTATTGAGGACGCCTGCCAGGAGTGCATGGCGTCGCCTGGACCTCAAGAGATATGTCACTTTGCTCAGTCTATTGGTTGTTGATCGAGTACGACCTGCAGAGCAGCATCAGTGTGGACGCCGTACGCTAGTGTACGTACACCAGCTTTCGTGAAGTGAGGCAAGGCATCTGTTTTTACATCGTAGATGAGGAAGATCAGGTAGTTTGTACAGTAGCCCACATCAATAGAGTTGATGTAAGGTACAAAGTTCCATTCAAGGCCCCTGAATTGATCAGATATTCTGAACTGGACAGGGACACGAGCCATGTTAACCTTAAAAAGGCGGTCTTTGTTTCGAAAGGCCGTTTGACAGGCGGCAAGATGGGTACGGCATAAAAACATGTCGACAATCCGGTCACAGCAGAAGCCAAGCATGTTCCCGGAGACTGCACTCTTGAAAGCTGTGGTGGCTCGCCCACGTCCGCATACCCATGCGGATGATCGGGCTTACAAGATGTCGGTGCTGCTTCTCGTCTCAGGTCTTGCCCATAGCTTCAGGGGTCCTCTCGTTCCCAGACGCCCAGAGAGCGTTCGTGACAGCCAGGGGCTGATGGTGGACACAGACCAGCTCTTAGAACGGGCATGTCTCCTTTTTCAGTCAAGCGTCTCACGGTCTATGCAAGCCCATCAAAACGGCAAGCTACACTGGCTTGGCTGGTACAAGGGATCCCCACTGTGGGAGGACGATTCTTTCTGTTCCAACACATCACGAGTGTGGTGACCAGGCGGACCTCCATCGAATTTGCGAGCCTGTAGTGTATTTCTGCCGCAGGCGTATCTCTAAGAACTGGGACTCCTCCGCCTTGGGTACTTGGATTGGGGAGAGGTGGGTGTATCAGGACGATCCTTTTCCTGCCGGCTTCTTAATTACACAAGAAACGTGGGGATCCCGGCTGTAAAATCAGGTTTGAGGAAGAACTGACTCGGCCAGCTTGGGGTCCTTCACTGACATCTCGACCGTTTTGGTCTCTGCAGATCGATCAACCTTGGCGAGCTTACTCGACGTCTCAACCCCCCTTGCCCTTCACTCGTAGTGTACGCGGTCATAGCATCAAGAAGATGGCAATTCACTCTACGGGCGACAGGCTATCCGTGCTTACAGACGACGGGTCAGGGAGCACATGGTATCAATAAGGGCGACCCCGGCACAGCCGATGTCAGAGCTCACTTATAGTAGGAGCTGTTATATGTCAGTACCTTTGCTGAACACTGTAGTCTCCACTACTTACCAGCTACCTTGTATTTCACGATACGTATCGTATGTACCGTCTCCCGCTCTTTCCATCCCTCTGATCAACGCTCACCTGTTAAGGTAGTGTAGCCCTGAAAGCCCCGGTGCCTGGGCTGGGCTGGGCTGGCACAGGTCGCTGCTGCACAGCACCACCCGACCCAAGGTTCTATCGCTGGAAGGCCCTAAGCCCACCGCCCGGTAGACCCACACCATAATTTGTGACAACGATTGAATTGAACCCACTGATGGCCTTGGTCCTCCGGGGATCAGCCTGTAGGGGGGCACCGCATCATCCACTCTGTCTCCATGCCCTCGGGAGATCTAAATGGTACCATGTACAGGATAACCTTGTCCACCCCATTCACTGTCAACAAGCTTCTTTTGAATTTCGGCATACATAAGCTAGCCCCCCTCCTCTCACCTCCCTGCCCACTTCAGAGCTTGGGGGTCTGCAAGACAAAGAAACGACATCATCACCGTTATAACCAGTCCAGTCGCCGCCTTGAACCACAAATATCAACCACACGTGTTCGACTTCACCAAACTGTACCTTTAATCACCAAGCAGAATTTCGCCTCGATCAAGGCAGTAGTAATATCGTCAACACGGACCGGTCCACTACACCTCAACCCTAACACACCGACATCAAAATGGCACCCGTGTCGTTAACGCCTCAATATCCCCCCCAGCCTTATGGCTTCGCTCCTCCACCCTCCCCTCCTTTGGACGACTCCAACAAGTGCTCACTGCCCTCGATATCGAACCTGCTCGTCATGGCCGATCAGGGATCTCCTACCTCAGAGACATCTCCTCAGTCTCAGCAATGTATGGCCGGCCGACCCATCTTGATACCAGGGAACTGCGCCGAGACTAACCATTTCTCAGTACACTTCTCAAAGTCTGACAACCGTCCCAACTCCTCCCAGTTTGGCAACCCAGCATCGGTCAGGGCGAACCTGCCCCCTAGTCCTCCCATGTCCTCGGAGGCTTCATTTGAGGGATACCACTCTCCTTCAAGCAAGCCAACAAGCCAGTCCCAGGGCAGCTCCAACTACTACTATGAGACCACGCCGCCTTTGAGCCAACATGAAGCCGACTCCCGCCAGATGGCCACTGCTGCACCCAGAGCCCCTGTTCAGCCTTCAACTTTCCAGTCACAGTACCCGTCGCCAGCTGGCTACTCGAGTCAGTCAGGCATCAACCCTTACTATCCTCCCATGCAGCCGACACCCCCTCCGCAGCAGCAGATGCCGGCCTTGTACTACCAGCGTCCACTTCCTCAGGTGAGAATTATCAGTCGAATCCAAGAGAGGGAGCTTATTCTAACATTTGCCTTAGACTTTCACCCCTTCTGTGCCAGTGTCAGTTACCCTGGCGCCAGCCACGGGAGCGAACCCTTGGCAACATCACCACTATATTGCCCCTTCTTCCACCGCCTCGTTCCCGCAGTCTCAGGACCGGTATATCTGCCAGACCTGCAACAAGGCCTTCTCTCGGCCTAGCTCGTTGAGAATCCACAGCCACTCACACACCGGCGAGAAGCCTTTCAAGTGCCCCCATGCTGGTTGCGGAAAGGCCTTCAGCGTTCGCAGCAACATGAAGCGTCATGAGCGTGGATGCCACAGCTTTGAGAGCAGCAACAGCAACAACAACGGCAACAGCAACGGCGGCGCAGCTGCCTAAGCGACCAATCTTCGCTTCTTTTCTTTGTGCGCCTCGTTTATCATACAACCAACCTTGACGGTCCGGTTTGGTATGAAAGATTTCGATAAGCGTTCATCACCGTCTTTATGGGTAGCTGGGTATTTTATGCAGGCATGCATCCCCACAAGGCCTAGCATGTGTTTAAGGAAAAAGAGGGCGGCAAATCACCGGATACAAATGGCGCATCATATCACTGCTCGGGACCGGCAAAGATTTCATATTCTTAACAACAGGTGCAGACAAAGACCTGTATGCGTTTCACACTCTCAAAAAGATTAGGGTTTCTTTCGGAACGGCAGGTCACGGTCTAGGGTATACAGGGTCCAAGGGGATTTCAGGCATGACCTTTGGGGTTGGCTACTAGCAAAAAGGCCCCCCACGGCGCGAAACGGGTTCGGCTTGCTTCAGCATTTACACGGGCGTTCACGCGGAGATGACATGCAAAAACCAAAGGGATGGCTCGCATTTGGCATGAATTGGCGGTTGTTTTTTCTATTTTATTCTCTCACATCCCCACACGTTAACATAATGTATATGGAGCGGGATGCCCTTCTATGGGCGATTGTACATTTAGCATCACGAGCCGGCCTTCACAAAGAAGTTGAGGGGTAAAGCCGGGGAACAACGATGCATGAGAACGGATAGGGCGGAATACGGAATCTTCAAAACAAAAGGTCAACAAATACTTTGATACCAGAGAGCATTGACAAAACTGAAGCGACTCAATGTGAGCCCTTGACATGACTTTGAAAAATGCCCCTGTGCTTGGTGGAAATTATGGGCTTTTTCTTCAGCACAAACGGAGAGCCACACAGCGGGTGGTCCCTATTTTAAGTGAGTTTTGTGCAACATTGCTTCCTTTCTCGTCTTGTAGCTGTTGAACGACAAGTGTAAACCGACGTCAGTTTTGACATGTTGCTCGTCACACAGTCTTACAACAGGATGCGTGGATTTACACGGCATCAATCATTGCGTTTTTTGTACTACCAACAATCTCCATTGCAACTTTAACCATGCCTTGGAAGCATGTAACAACCCGGCCGTTAGGTACCTTAACTGAACGACAGAACTCTCATATCTCGTGACCACAGAGGAGAAAAGCGTATGTGGGAAACAGCAAAAGAGGGGGATGACCATCACGATGCCTGCCGTTGAGCGCTGACTGATCAAGAGCACAAAAGATTCGAGCCGCCGAAAGTCGAGAGAGTCGAGAAGGAAACGAAGATCCTCCCTCTCTTACCCATTCCCCGATCTCATTTCCGTCTCATGATCTACACGGAGGGCACCAAGTGCGTGGATATCCACATGGACCAGGTCCGGAGGGAGGCACTGAAAAAGGAAATTTTTCGACGACGCGCATGAAGACGCCGGAAGTTAAAGTGTTGCTAGCGACCAACCAACCGACGCCCAGCAAGTCGCACCCCCTCTCTGCCCTTTCACTGAGAGAGAGTCATTTTCAGGAATAGAACAGAATAGCACTGTTGCAAAGCTGTAGCCGGCCAGGTGCCAGAGACAGCCAAGAGACGTCCATACGGTAGGTCGTGGGCACGGCGACCTTGTATCTCTTTACGCCATCAGATACTTTACGATACATACATACGTATGTCTTACTCGCAAGCACCGGCTCTCACACAGGTCCAGATGCTTTGTCTCTCATTCTTGCTACTAAGACAGCGGCAGATCACCACAGCGAATAAAGGGAGCAGCCCGAGGGGCGGTCGGTTCGGGCAACACAAGAAACCTAGATAAAACGCGGGAAACAGACAAATGGTAGCTTGACATGACATACGTAATAAAAGGCCTTGGCTTGTTAAACTTTTATAAGCTCTTTTCGATTCCGGGAATGGAGGTCGTGGCATGTCTCAGTCGTTGTCTCCCGCTTGTCTAGGTTGTACTTTGGGATCTCCATGAGATGCTCCCATTGGCAATCACCTAGCCTCAACAGTATCTCTCTAGTGTAGTCGTACTTGATGATTACAGTACCCAGAGACGGACGGCACAGCACAACACACGCCAGCCTGTCAGGAGGAAGCGAAGATCGATAGGTAACGAAAGGTAGGTACGGCGATAGCGTGAGACGCTATCAGCCCAGTAGTTCACAACTCAGTCGTTAGTGGTCCCCGTAGACTTTCGTAGTTGGCCGATATTTCGGGGACTGGAGTATCACACACTCCCCATCCCCGGGCGAGACCGCCCCGTATCTACAAATAACGCTACTGATTATACTATTGCGTTAGTCAATAGAGGATTTGCGCATCATGCAATTCATGGTGGTTCACGCCGAGAAGCCCGTAGCGGGACACGGTAGTTGTGGTTTGTGGTTGAAGGACGACAGACGGGGAAGTTTGACGAAGGCGGTGAGGGATGTGGGAGGAAGGGAGGAAGGTGAACCGTGATCAACTGGTGCCGTGCAACTCATTCACCGAGGGATGGAGCACACTGTTGAGCACCTGAGCACTTCTTAGCGGGCACCGCAACCGCACCGCACCGCACCGACCACCGCCAAGGCAAAATGTGTGGACTGGAACATGAACGACCCAAGGGGGGGAAATGATGGGAGAAAGGTGGGTGAAGGTGGAGATGGAGAATTGTCAAGCGAGTGGGAAAAGAGAAACAGAAACATCATCCACTTTTGCGATTTACCCATCATCACATCCCCCGTTCCTCTCCCCCATCATTCATCCATCCGCGTCAGCGTCATGCCCACCCTGGTGGACGATCCGAGGTTCCTCGAACGGGTGAGGTAGAGGGGCCTCACTCCTTTGTAAATTGTAGGTAGTACGTGCCTTGATTATTTCACCGCTGGTATCGCACATGTATGTAACCATTTTCAGAATCCTTACAATGGAACGCTGCAGCTGGTCGAAAAGAGCCTCACACACACACTCACGAGGGTCCCCTGGCCGTGATGTGCAAGATGAATTACGGGGCACGTACAGTACCGGAGATTTGGCCGTTCTGGGTAAGGTTCGTAATCAGCCATGATGGCATCGCTTGATGTTGTCTCACCCAGAGACATCCAACTTTTCCCGGCAGGCAATTTCGACAATCGAATGATGAGGATGCCAGTGGTGTGTCGTCGACGACCGGACAGCAAGCGACAATGGCATTCTGTTGGAAGGAAGGAGTCTTCAGCTTTTTTTATTTGGCTTTTTTTTCTAGCCCGCGGGGCCAATCACGTCCTGGCTCGGGCGCAAGCTGGGATGTGGTGGGGTGGGGAATGGAAGGAAGGCATGGAAAGACCGTTGAGGACGAGCGATCAGCGAAGGCAACTTCGAGTCGGGTCCGACGTCGTTTTCCACCAATGCGGGGCCCCCCTGGCCCGTTGCTGCTCCTGCTTCCTACACCAAATCTTGCCCAACTGCCGCTGGCTGGGGGGGTGTCGTCGTCGTCGTCGTCGACTCGTCAAAACTCGTCCTCCTCCCAGGCTTTTCCACCTTGTCACGCCTGTCACGACCTTGTCTCATTTTTCTTTCTAGCGCGCTTCTCTGGCGTCCGTACAATCTTACAATCCCAGCCCGTGTTCGGGTTGCGTACCATTCGAGTCTAGCGTCCAGAGGCATACCAATGCCATTTCTCCATCTTCATGCTGATGGTGCTCCATTGCCTATCAACCCACATTTGTCGTTCTTCTTCTCACCCCTCCTGCCCTCCCACCCCTCGTCCAGTCCAGCTCGCCCGACCCCCCTTGACAACCGACGAACGACGACGACGACGACGACGACAACTCCCCGACCCCTCCTCTCGTGCATGGGCCAGCCAACCGAGCAACGAGATTCCCGCCCCCTTGTCGCATTTCGGTTGATCACCGTCGATCAGCCTGTTCGCCAAGCGAGACCGGGACCCCTTATCCCTGCCTGTTCCCAAAATGCCCCCCCAGTCCATGTGGATGGGATCAGCACCTTGGCTTTCTCTGCCTGCCCGCCCGCTGCCGAGATGGCGGTTGCTGCTGTGGATGGCTGCCGAGAAAGCCAAGGTGCTGATGTCATGGGCATACGACACAGTACCTTACTACCGCGTATCGTACCGTAAGTTTGCCGGCCGTGGCCCCTGGGGGCGGGGGACCTGAGCACTCTGTTTCGCGCTGTAACCAAGACTCTTTTCGGGGCCTCCGTGGCATCCCATGCCGAAGCATAATTGGCATCAATTGGCATTGACAACTTGAGATTATGCCAATGTTCTTTTCGATGATTCTTCCTATATCGGCCCTGCTAACTTATCCAAACTACGAACAATCTTCAACGGCCACTTCACATGTCCTCTGTTGGATGTGCATCAGCCTGGAAGATGCCTGCGGCTGGTCCCGTCCCGGAAGCGGCGGAACTTTGTGTTGTCATGACATCCAGGAACCGACCGATGGTGAGTCGAGCACTTGCATGCCTGCCCCAAAACTGGCCTCATCGACCTTATCGACCTCATCGCCACAGCACGTTTCTTTTCAAGAACAAGCAGCGTCGGTCACTGGCAAATACGAATGAGGCTCATCTCATCTTGCCTTCTGTGGCTGTGAATCGTACTCGGGTTTCTATCACCTCACCTCGTCTGGCAATGATCTTCCTGCACTCCCCTGTCTTACGCAGTTGGTTTCGGGGATGAGAAATTCACTCACAGCCTCACTGAGACACTGACAGTAGTTGATCAGTAGTTTCCTCTCAGACAACTCAACGCCCGCTTCGACAATGTATCACGGAAAACGGCGGCTAAATCGTAGGCAAGGCTTCTAACGCCTCTTAATTAGTCTCGACGCCTACTGTACATGCTGAGTAACTCGACTTCCCGCAATGCCTGTGCAACCAAAGCCATGAGACGAGGTCTCAGAGATATGAAGCCAGGGTCCTTCCTAACCGCCAATATCCTGCAGTGACTCGATATCTATTGTTTCACCAGGTGGCCTCTGCCACGACGAACAGGACCGCAACCTAATTCATCATTTTTTCAATTATTCTCACCCATCCCCTCCAAAAATATCATGGCGATATTGCAAGCTGCCATGTTCGACAATAAAAAATGAAAACGAACCATGCGTATCTGATCCCCGGATACGCAGACACCTCCAGTCGTTCGCCAACCACTCGTCCCGAGAGGAGTGTGAGGTTGGACATCGGACGAAGGTCGAAACGAACCCAAACCCCACACGATCAGTCCGCCCCGTGCAGATTATCGAGCCATTGTGCCATCATCGCCGCGCAATGCAGGCCTTCCCTTCCGCTTACAAGTTCCAGGGATCTATGGCTTCCCGGCAAGTTCACTTTCCACTCGGTGCGCGGTGCGGATCCAGACCTCCGTCGTAAGCGGGTGCTCCAGCCTCCATCGAGCCGAAAGGCCGAGAGCAGCACAATGCGGCCGAGCCAAGGCTGAGAGAGGACTCCATAATGTGTCAAGACCAGCGACCCCTGAATCGCGGCTTTTCGATTGCGTCGAGATACACATGTGACGACGGGAGTTCGTGCTAACTTCTAGCTGGGTAATCATCGAAGCCGGCAATGGAATATTTCGATGCCATCAAATCCCCGTGCCAAGTCGGGTTCATGGAGATGTCCGTTCGATAAGCTTGAGATTTACGTGATGAGGGTATGGGTATCCCCTGACAGTACGCAAATGTGACATGTTGAAACAACTCATTCCCAGATCATCGATTTCAATGAATTGCCCCAGCAGAGACATCCGCGGCGCGCATCCAAGGGAATATCAGATCGCTTTCGCTTGTCGTATTGCACATCTGACAGCATGTCAAGCACGCCAGTTCGGTCCGAGCGTACACCACATATACCTTGGGGCAGCCTTTTGACAGCAATCAGCTGCATAGTGCACTGCATTTTATGTATGATCACCTAAGCATTAACACATACCTTGTAGTGTACACTACAGAGGACCAGTGGTCCGTATCAAAAGCTCTTGGGAGATCCTCTAAGAAGAGGATCCAGATCGTCAATGATCAACATCTGGCAGACAGCGCTATATTTATCTTTTGTTCAGCGCAGAAGCCACATGATGATCCGGCCGTTTGAGGGAAGCAGCACGCAGTGTCCCTCGCTCGCTCCTTGGGGGTATCAGTGGGAAAACTGTACACGTTACGTACGTACCGAACAGCTTTCCCTTTCCTCCCTGGCGGCAATTACAGTCCACTTTCGCGCCCAGCTGTCAGCCATTTCGCTCTTTTCAGCCGGCTGAAACGATGGCTTTCTGCGTGGCGCTGGCGATCATCGACGCTAAGTCCCGCCTGGGATCAGCGCCAACTTTCTTCATTGTTACGGCACATCCCAGATGGGCAGAATGGGCTGATGGGTTTTTCGTGTTGATACTGGTTAGTTTTTTCCATAGCGTTTCTTTCTTTGCTTTTCCACCATGCCGTTGCTTGTTTGCCCGTCAAAGACGGGTAATATGTTACGGTAACTGTTGTCGGAGATTGTTGCTTTCTTGCTCTGTGCTCACCAGTCTGTGTTTGGACTGAAGAATACGGACATAGCAACAACGACGACAAGTGACGATGATGACGAACAGGCAACTGCGAGCGTGCAAGTCGGTTACATGCAGTCGAGCTGATAGAGTGAGACACATCTCCAGAAAGTAAGCCCAGAAGCGCAAGATAACCTCTTCCCAGCCATCGCTTCGCTTCCCAGGGCATTCCGGGACTTTGCGAGTCAGGGGCTTACATATCGTGGGGCCGGCGTATGTAAAGATGGACAGGAAGTCAGGCACAGGGTACTGCTACCCCATAAGCCTCGGCTCAGAATTGTGGTGGTTTGTTGTTTCCCCCTTTTTCCCTTCCGCCGTTCACCATAGAAGCCCACTGTAATTTGTGCTACTGTAGGTACAATGCTATACTGTACGGAAAGCTTCTTTTCGGGCCTTGTATGGTAACTTTACATCCCTGCAACCACCCAGAAAATGGGGTCATGGTATCTTACACTACACTACATCTACGTACGCGGCAGGCACAAGGGGGAAGCAAGCCAAATGTTGTCCCGGGAGTCGTTCCCGACAAGCCTCCTTGTTTCACCACCTTGTTGATAGCTTGGGGACATGCTAGGCATCCAGACTCCCAGACCATCACTCTGTCAACCACAACGCAGCCACCACCATCCCCTTTGACCTTCAACAACGAAAGAAAACCGTACGACTGTCAAGGTTCAGCCTCCCGATGAAATGTAGCCCATCATCTCGTTAAGCCGTTAGGCAACGTAAAAGCAAAAACACTATCAACAAATCCGCCTCATTAACTCAGCCTCCTCCCCATAACCGCTTCCCTTTCCCCCACCGCGGCCGTGAAGTGAAGATCTATTTCCTCCCGTCGTAAGGTGCAATCATGGCTAACTAAGAACAATGACATACAAGTCTATGATTATGGGTCCATAGGGGCAAGCGAGGGGGTTTCGGAACCGAGACAGACTTCCGGAACGGTTTGTGGGCGGGCGTCGTGGAGGGGCTTGATTTCAACCCGAGACATTGATCACATCACATCGTCGATTTCAACGATGCCCTTGTCGTTCCTTCTCTGTGGGTAATGAGGCGTGATTGAGAGTCATGTGCGGTGCGCGTGTGCGTGGGTGTAAGTGAGTGCGTGTGAATGCGAGCGTGATGAGTGAGTGCTGGTGCATGCTGTAGGCAAAACCGCAAAAGAAAGAGATGTGAATGAGGCGCGCTTGGGCGCTTGATTCTTCTGGATACCTACCTATGATTGCTTACATATGTAGGTAGATACTACCACACTGAATAAACGCCTTTCATGTTAACTACCTAAGTAGGCAAGACCTAACATCACGTCCATCATTCTCTCAAAGCTTGCCGGTCAGGTACTATTATCAAGTATTAACACCGCTGTCTATGGTCGAGACTGGCCAGAAGAACGATGAAGGATGAACGAGCGGTCGATCGATGAGCCGCATACAGTCCTATCAGGACCATCTTTTCCTTCCATACCAACAACAACTCGCAAGATCACAGATCAGGGATTAAAACATAACAGTTGACTGAACAAGGTGCTCTCTCCCCTATCGGCAGTGAATCAACGCGAATGAATCAAAATGCTGATGTGCCAATTGCCATCAATTGCCAATGCCCATCAACCGGATATCACCCATCACAACCGAATGCGAGCGCGGGAGATCTTCTCCTCCAGCCCGTTCGTGTCCGCCTCCCCGCCCAGTCAGTCAGCCCCATGTTTCAAACACACTTTCACAGTACACTACACGTACTAACACTCTATCGACGACTATCCTATCCTATGTAATCTCCATCTCCAAATATCCAATGTAGTGTACACTACAACAGAGGTACTTATATGTACACTACATGGCTCCTATCCCTTGCCAACTGAAGCGAGTCGACTGGAACAAGGTCAGCGCACGGGCTGAAGATCATCACCTCCTCCTCCTCCTCCTTCTCCTCCTCGTCCTGCTGCTGCCTCCACCACCACCTCCACCAGGAGAAGAGGCTTAGCTATAATCGATCATCATCACACTTCCTGATACTTCTCCTTTTTTATCACTCGCATCCACGGCTGCTTCGAAACATCAGGCATTCAGTTCCATGCCCCCGGCTCGAACAACTGCCGAAGGGCATGGGGACATGGGGACATGGGGACATGAGGACATGAGGGGCGTGGAGAAAGACTTGAGGCTTGAGGCTTGAGGGGGGAATCAGATCATTCATTCAGGGGTTAGGTAGTCGTGGTTGTGGCTGTGGCCGTGGTCGTGGTCGTGGTCGTGGTCGTGGTCGTGATCAGGGGGATGGTTGTCTGTACTATGTATGTTTACCGCAAGATGGGCGGTTTTCAAGGTGATGGCAGAGTGTAGGTACCTCTATATATGAACAGTTATGCATAGAGAGCATTTTGTGATATTGGTTGATGATGGCCACGCTACGTGTACTGAAACGTTGGAACGGAAACATGTTGCCTGCCGTATGTAACCTCAGCTGTGGTAGGTAGTTTGACCGGATGTTTTGTGGTGTTACATGCCGGACCCCAAAAGGCGGCTGGATGGCGGATCATCGATGTTTGGGTCATGTAGGTAGCTCAGGATAGTGTTCAGGCATGATCTTTTTGTGATTGTAGAGGTAATGATCGTGTGTTTGAGGTGTTGAGTACGACGAAGACCTTGTACGTAGACAGAGCTTGTTTTTGTTGCTTTTTTAGTATGGGTCGGGGGGGGGGGGGGGGGGGG